TTAACCACTACACCAAAGCTGAGTTAGTGTCAGCTAGCTCACTGCTTTTTTAGCCTCCGGCTCACCCATTGTTGTCTTCGCTCAGGAAGGAGGGCTCCAGAGCAAACTAATTTATGCAGCAGCCGAATTGTTCGCTCACAGCTTTAACGCCAGGAGCTCACAAAGTAGATTTTTTGCTCACAGGACGCCATAGCTTAGAGGAAGCATTGGTTGCCAACCTCCAGCTGGCACCTGGAGACATCCTCCTATTACAATTGCTCTCCGGACGACCAAGATCAGTCCCCCTGGAGAAAACGGCTGCTTTGGAAGGCGGACTTCGTGGCATGGTATCCTGCTGAGGTCCCTCCCCTCCCCAAACCCCGCCCTCCTCAGGCTCCACCCCCAAAATCTCCAGGGATTTCCTGACCCGGAGCTGGCAACTCTACCCCGGGCACAAGGTGTCCGTCGCTTCTGTGCAATTTTTCATGGAAACAAGATGAAAAAGTAAATTTGTCATCCTCGTCATTGTTGACAGCAGACGAAATGGCACCTGGTGAGACCTCTGCGGGCAGAACAGGGGGCGGAATAACTTCCCGGGGGGAGGGTGTGGAGATGTATAGGTCCCTCTGGTTCTCTCTCCAAATTGCTTAGAGCAGGGCTTTCCATTCATCAGCTCTAATGCCTGCGAGGTCGGTCAGGCGAAGAGGAAACGACTGCTTCAAGGTCACCCAACGAGCAGAGGTTCGAACCTGGGTCTCCCAAGGGGTAAACTGACACACTAGCCCTGGCTGTTTTGTGCCAAATAAACAAGGCAAGATAAGGGAATTATGCAAAACAAGACACATCATGCTAATTACAGCCATTCCGTTTGCACATTTCAGGCAGGAGTGGGCTGATTTCCCACCGCACGAGTTTTTCAGTCTTATTCCGAGGCAAGTGAGGAGGAAGAGGAGGAGGAGGAGGAGACTGGATTTATACCCCGCTATTCACTTGGAGTCTCAAAGCAGTTTACAAACTCCTTTCCCTTCCCCTCCCCACAACAGACACCCTGTGCGGTAGGTGGGGCTGAGAGAGCTCTTTCAAGAACTGCCCTTTCAAGGATAGCTCTTGTCAGAACTATGGGTTGCCCAAGGTCATCCAGCCCGGTGCAAGTGGAGGAGTGGGGAATCAAACCTGAAAATGTTTTTAACCAGGGCTTTTTTTGTAGAAAAAGCCCAGCAGGAACTCATTAGCATATAATAGGCCACACCCAACAGGAAAAAAACCCATTTGCATATTAGGCCACACCCCTGACAGCACAGCTCATTAGCATATTAGGCCACACAGCCCTCGTTACCAGAAGTGTGCTCATCCAGCCACACCCACCTTTTGCTTGTTATTCTGTTTACCTTGTCTGTTGTCAAAACCCAGGGCCTTTTTTTGGAGCAGGAACGTCTTTGCATGTTAGGCCACACACCCCTAATGTAGCCAATCCTAATGAGTTTCTGCCAGGGTGTGGTCTATTATGCTAATGAATTTCTGCTGGGCGTGGCCAACTCGGGAGCCAGCCGGAACTCCATTCCTGTGCGTTCCTGCCCAAAAATAGCCCTGTTTTTAACTATTATTGTAAGTTGCCTTGAACCATAAAGTCTTTAATGAATTAATGGATGGATGGATGAGTATTTCCATTTCCCCTTCCCTGAAGCATTGCTGGAATGACCCAGGGAACTGTGGTGAGTCGCCATTTTCCAGAGCCTCACTGAATTCAGACACGCCTTGAGGTAAATGGAGGCTCACCTTTAGGGTTCCCAACCCCCCCCGGGGGGCGGAATTCCCCCCGGTTTCGAGCCCCGATTCCCGCTCCTGCGGAATCGGGGCCCGGGGGAAACCCCACCCCCACGTGTGCGTCACCCGGAAGTGACGTCACACGCTGGGGGCGGGGCCACGCCATTTG